CGCAGACCCTGAATTTTTAATTCCCAGGAGTACAAACAACAAACTTATAAATACTTATATGTGTGTTTGTGTATGTGAACACACACACACACACACACACACACACACACACACACACACATACCTCCAAACGAGAGCTTCAAATACAAATTACAAAGACAGAGGGTGGGTGGGGAAATGGGCAATAAAAATCAAGAAAAGTTCCAAGAACTAAAGTGCTCACAACTGACAGAGCTCATGGAGCGGCCAGAATACTGGATGGAAATATATGCACATCAAAGTACATCATTATAAAATCTTAGAATAATGGGGGGGGTGATGACATAGTCTACACCAATGAAAAATATGTAATACAAAATATTTTTGCTCTTTTTATTTGATGGTAGGTTTAGAATAAAAATTTAACCTGTTGAAGGTATGATTTTAACACTTCACAGATGTCATGTGAAGTAAATTCAGACAGATCTACTAAATGCCTTCCGTTTTCCAGAGCTTGACACAGCATTGCAGTTTTTGCCTTGTTGCCACTGACGTGATAAATTCCCTTGAAGAGAAAAGCAAACAGTATGCAATATTCTAATTTAGTTCAAAGGGCTAAATACAGTCATCTAAACAGAGTTGATGGATCTACTTCAATTTTTATTAGTTTTTAAAAAAATACAAGTTGAAGTCAAATAAATTAACATTTTCCAAATAAATGTGAATAAATTCAGTTACTACAAATGGAGAGTGCTGATTTTCTTAAAGTCTCTTTTTTCATTAAAACAAATCACAAAGGCATTTATGTTTTTAGAGTTGTAAGAGTTAACAACATACTGGTAAACACAAGGCTGTCTTTTCAATCTCTGATGCATACATTTTGATTATGAAAGGAATGCCATCTGGCTCCTTTTTGGCATTGTGTGAGAATTCTGCTCTAAATAAGTGTGTTTTCCCCCAAAGTTTCCGATGACCGCAAATGATGGTTAAGTTTGCCATACATTTTTTATGGCAAACAAGAAGACGCTATAAGAAAATGATAGTTGAAAACTGATTGACTCACCTTAAAATCATTCACAACTAAGCAAAGTACAGGCAGACTAATAATGACAAAAATAAGTTAAAAAATACTACTTGTGGTTTGTGAATTACATTTAACAGCAAAACAAAGTAGAAAACTATAGAAATAAACTGTGGGATTTTTATTAAAAATGTACTGGCAGAGCCAGGTGTGATGGCATATGCCTATGATTCCACCTACTTGAGGGGTTGAAATAGGAAGATCACAAGTTGAAGGCCAGCCCAATCTCACAAGACCCCATTTCAAAACACAATTTTAAGAAGGGGTAGAGTGCTTGCCTGGCATACGCAAGACCCTGAATTTAGTTCCCAGGAGTACAAACAACAAATTTCTACATATTTATACGTGTGTTTGTGTGTGTGTGAGGACCACATTGTTCCCTCCAGTTATGTCTGGCTGGAGAGTCCCACACAATTTTGGTTCAGCCTCTAAACTGGCTGAGTGGTTGTGTTTATGAGGTGGTTGTTTTATCAGTTGTGCTCAAAATCAAGGTTGCTATAAATAAGCTTCCATGTGTCCTCCTGGGCCAAGGGAGAAATATATATATGCACATATAATACCAAACGAAGTCCTAATGTTGTTTCTCCCTTGGAGATTTATATATATATAAATCTTTTTCAAGATAAGAAACAGAATTAAATTCGGAAAGAGAAAAGAAATAATGTTTAATAAATTTCTCTCTGGAAGACTTGAATATATATGTATGCATATACATATGTATATATATATATATTACATATATGTGAATACATATGTGTGTGTATACATCTAAAACAAAATCCTGATGCGTTTGTGTGTGTGTGTGTGTGTGTGTATGTGTGTGTTAGCAAGTGCGAGTGCATCTAAGGGGAAAAAATTAACTTTCTGATATGTTACATGAATTGACAATTGCAAATGTGTACAATATATAAATATATGTTTACACATTCAGGGTAGCTGAACAAGGAAATCTGGAGCCTGTTCCTCCTGTGTAATGGGAGAAATCACCTGGTCAGTGAGCTACCTGAAAATGACTTAGGAAATGATTGGATCATATGGGTTATAACATCATCAGTGATTTAATCCATTTGATGGATTAATAACATGAATGGATTATTGGGAGGTGGAACCCTGGGGTCATGCCCTGGAAGGGTTTATCTTGTGCAGTGATGTTTTTCTACTTCATCCCAAGCCCAAAGCAATGGGGCCCGCAAACCATCAACTGAAACCTCGAAACCATGAGCTAAAATAAATCTTTCCTCCCTTTTTTGTTTATTTCAGATATTTTGATCACAACCATGAAAAGCTAACCCAGGGAGAAATTTAGAAATTTGTAATCACAGCAGCCACAGGGAGCCAACACAAACACTCAGCCAAAGAACAACTCAGCCACAGACCCACACTCAATGGAGACCAGCAGCAGACACCAGGAACCAGCTGAACCAACCAGCATGCTGGAAGGATGTGCAGAGGTCATGTGCCCCAATGCAACAGAAGTCACATCAGTGCTGGATGCTCTCTTGGGTAAAGCTTTAGTAAGCAATTGTTTTCTAAGATAAAGGAAGTAAATAATTCTCTCTCTTTTTAAATTTATTTATTTTTTAGTTTTCGGTGGACACAACATCTTTATTTTTATGTGGTGCTAAGGATCAAACCCAGCGCCCTGCACATGCCAGACGAGGGCGCTACCGCTTGAGCCACATCCCCAGCCAGTAAATAATTCTCAAAGGTGCTGATTCAGTTGCTTGACTAAGCTTTCAAAATATTCAGTTAATTTTCTTTCTCTCTTTTTTCTTTTTGCCATTATTCAAAATCTGGGACTTAGGAGAAAAGCCAGTTTATACAAAACAAGTACATTTTCTGTACACATCAAAATTTTAGTTTCTGCTGAAATTTAGGAGCCTTTGTCCTATGCGTATTATTCTGGAATCATGTTTTAAATCCTTTCCTTGTGAACTGATATTGCTGAATATTTCCTTTTGATCTCTAATGATATTGGGTCCACAAGACAGGTGGTAGCCAACATTTTGGAATAGAAGAGCAGACATGTAAAAAGAACCCCAGTTTGCAAGTTGGGTACAGTGGCACACACCTGTAATACCAGCTACTCAGGAGGCTGAGGCAGGAGGATCCCAAGTCAAGGCCAGCCTATGCCTCTTAATGAGACACTGCCTCAAAAAATAAAAAGGGCTGGGGATGTAGTGCACCAGGTAAGCACTTGCCTAGCATGAAAAAGACCCGGGGTTCAATCCCCAGCACCATTCAAAAACAGGAAGAAGCCACAGTCCTTGATAACATCACTGAGTCAGTGAACCAATTCTGAAATCAGCTTCCACTGGGATTCTTCAGATAGGAGATAAATTCAACCTCTATCTATTATTTAAGCCACTTTTTACTGGGGAAATCTGTCACTGACAGCTAGCAATAGAGTCAGAGAAAAAGCATACCCCTTAGAATAATTATAAACTGAAATGAGTGCAATTTCCCTTCAACACACACATCTCTGTTTGCAAATATCCTATAAGAACATAACTGAAAACCTAATATATATTGGGGAATGATGGAAAAACATTCTGAAATAGCTAATATGTAATCTAAGCCCAGAAAGATAAAGTATTAGCTAGTGAAAAGTGGGGAAAATAGTATCCCTTGCACTTTTAACATTCCTGAGAAGAAAAAGAAATCGGGAAGGTCAAGGAAGTAAAGGAAATCTTCCGTGACAGGAGAATAATGAATAACAGGAGGCGTGGCACAAGCTGAGGTTAGAAGTGCAAGCAGGGACCAGACCATGCAGAGCACCATAGGCCATGATAAAGAACCCAAGAGCAACATAGAGCTGTATTATCCAGGTAAAGTAGGTTTTGCTGTAATAACAACCCTAGAATGTCAGTGGCTTACAAGATGAATATCTCATTCATACATGTGTCCATCATAGTTTAGCAGTGGGCTCTGCATTTGGGATGTCACTGTCCTTCTTCTGGGACCAATATATCCACCATGTGGAACATGGTTACTAGCCACAGAAAAAGGAACAAGAAATGCAAGCTCAGTTCTCAAAGCTTCTGTCTGTAGGTGGCATGCACAATTTCTGTGCACACTGTATTAGCTAAAGTAAATGACAGGCCCTCCTGACTTCAAGTTCTCCTGCAGGAAAGGAGAATAGTAGTGAACAATAGACAATATGACATTCTTTCCAGAAACCATTTGAGAGCTTTGAACAGAAAGCTAAGTGTGGTGGCACATACTTGTAATCCCAGTTACACAAAAGGCTGAGGCAGGAGGATCTCAAGTTCAAGGCCAGCTTGGCAACTTAGCAAGACCCAGTCTATAAAATAAAAAATAAAAATTAGAGGACACAGCTCATTGGTAGTTTGCTTTCCTAGCATGTACCAGTTCCTGGTTTCAATCGCCAGTTCCTCAAAAAGAGAGAGTGATTTTAGCAGCAAAAGAACATGATTTAATTCACAGTATAAAATATCCCTCTAACTGCTGAATGAAGAATAGAAAAAATGCAAGAGCCAGAGAAGTGAGATCAATTAGAGAGTCTAAGAGTGGCCAGGTTGGACTAGGAGAGTGGCAGTTAGGAGTAAAAAAGAGAGAGAGAAGTAGACAGATTATGATATATTTTAAAAGTAGAATTAAAAATTTTTTGTGAGGGATTGGATGGAGGGAGAAAATGGTACCAAAAATAATTGTCAGGTTTCTGGCATGAGACACCATATAGATGGAATTGCCAATCTCTGAGATTGGTGATAATACGATCAAGAGTCCAATTTTAGACATGCTAAGTTTGAAGTACCTATGAGTCATATAAGTGGCAAAATTACATGCACACCTCAAGAAATAAAGGGCTGGGGGGCTGAGGGGCTGGGGTCACAGGCAGAGTGCTTGCCTAGCATGTGTGAGGCACTGGGTTCGATTGTCAGCACCACATATAAATGAATAAAATAAAGATCCATCAACAACTAAAAAATACTTTAAAAAAAAGAAATAGTTCTGGAATGCAAACATAAATGTGTAAGTCATTTTGATATATAAATATTTTTTAAAGCTGTAAAAGAGAATAGGATCCTAGACCAAGCTATGACAATTCCAAACAGTAGATATTAGATTGGGACAACAGCACTAGCATTGTCAAGCATTTAAGAATTCAAACTCAAATTCAATCTGTGTGGACTTGAATACTGGGGAAAGTGATATAAATCCTCTGAGCCCTAGTCTCCTCATCCACACTATTTCTGATGGAGCTGTCTGTTGTGAGGATTGCATTGAAAAAAAATGAACAAACATACAGCCTAGCACATAGAAAGGTACTTCCTAAATCATGGCTATTGGTACTTCTATTAAAGGAGAAAGAGCCTTGAAAGAAGTGGCAGAAAAATAAGGAAGTGTATCATTAATAAAACCATATGAGGAGACTGTTTTTAGTATGAGAGAGGTGCCAAAAATGCCAAATGCTACTCAAAGATTGAGCAAAATGAAAACCTAGGACTGAATTGTGTCCTGAATTTGGCAAAAAAAAAAAAAATGCATCAGCATTTTTTTAAGCATCTTCGATGAATTGATGGGGCAGAAATCAGTTAATGAGCGTTAAGGACTAGAAATAAAAATACATTTCAGGTGAAGACCTAAATGTAAAAAGGTGAAACTTTAAATTCTAGGAGAATTTTAATCTCCTAGATTTAAATTAAACCTTTAAAATCTCAGTATAGAAAAGGAGTTCCCAATTCAAACACACACACACACAAAAAAAAACACAAAACTATAAAATATAAATGTGGTAAAGTTTAAAACATCTATATATCAAAATATATCATAAAAGGTTGGGGGGGAAAAACCCCAGATGGAATGAAAATACAAACCTTACAACCAAAAACAGACGATGCTCAGAACATACAAGGAATTCTATAAATCAATAAGAAGAAGACAAATTACCTAATAGTCAAATAAAAAGGACCTCACAGGACCTACAATTTATTAATGTTTCCATATTGTCACAGTCCTCACTTCATCATGTCCTCATTTCTCTCTTTAGTCCCACTTAGATTCCATGATCCATCATCTTAATCGGTATCTTACACATCC